TAACAAAATTTGAAATGCAAGTTATTTTGTGTGTACGTATACATTAGGGGTGTAACGATATTACAAACTGAACCAAAATATCGCGACACACCGACCACAATAGTATCGCGAAACTCTCATGGCGTACCGCGGTTCTCTCACGCCCCCTGCTGCCCATTGTTGAGGTTGACGTCACTTGTCTCTAACTGATTGAATCAATTTAAAAGACAGACAACAGAACTGCCAACACAAGTGATTTAATGTACAAAAGTGAAACCAGAATATTGCCCAAATATATACAAAAGACAAATATTTACACTAATAAAAATAATATAATAAAGTGGCAAATTCAAACAAAATATCAAACAAAAATGAGTTCAACTGGAGTAAGGGGACGATAGTGAAGCCAAACAAAAGAAAGCAATATAACAAAACAATTCTAATGGATGATTAACCCCTTATCTGGCTAGAAACTGATGAAAAGAAAAGAAAGGTCTTCAGTGCAGTGCGCCGCATTCTTCCCTATACTGAACTGTAGAATAAAATAAATAGAAAGATGACGTTCCTCTCTTACCTGATGTCTTTAACAATACATTTTCTACGTGTTTGCAAAATGGAAGTCGTACAACATCTGCCCTATCCACATTACTCTCTCGAGTGAACTAGAGGAGGTGTAGCTCGGGAATTGACGGGAAAGAGCCGAGCCAATAATTAACTGACAAATCAAATTAAATAAAAATGAACAAAAATAATCTCAAAGAGGGCAAAATCATTTTACCCAAACGAAAGTTAAGCAAAAACAATGAAAATCATAATCATGTCAGCAAAATACACCAAAAACCAGATCAAGGAAAAAGCGCTCTCCCGCTCTTCCTGACGCCCTTTCTATATCCCCACGCCACATCGCCCAGTGATGATAGATCGGTCTCCTGACCAATCAGCTGTCGTGAAGACTTACAGAAATGACAGGCATGGAGAGAAAGAGAGACAGAAAACGGGAGGTAGAGATGCGCGGATCAGCTGAAATGACACCCGACTTGTTCTTGTTATTAAGTGAATCTATTGTTCCTTAGCATTGCCGTTAAGATGACATCAAGCCTAACCCCACAGCAAACAGAAACCGAACCGAACCGTGGCTCCAAAACCGTGAATCGAACCGAACCGTGCCTTTGGTGTATCGTTACACCCCCAGTATACATCATGTGTGTGTGTGTGGTTACCCCTGTGAAACTAAAACAGGTAGTAGTCATTAATACTTTAAACTTAAGTACATATTTCAGGCCGTACTTTACTTTTACTTGAGTACAAAAGTGTAATCAGTACTTCAGCTTTTACCAGAGTCGTTGTAAACATGAGGACCTGCACTTCTACTGGAGCACAGGATGTGTGTGCTGTCGCCATCTCTGTTCCAGACGCTCTATAGATGAGTTTTCAGCACAGACACAGACAGTTAATGAGGATTACTCTCAGTGTTATGGTGACATTTAACAGCTATTTATTCTGTCTGTTTCAGCAGTTCCAGCTCTTCTTAAAATGTTGATCATCCCCAGAGTAATCATGCATGAGCTCATTGACAGCAGACAAGAGAAACTCAGTTGAAGAGCACTGTGCTGGCGATAGTCCTGCCTCAATAACACATCGCAGATCGTCCAATTCTCTGGCGTATTTTAGTGTTTGTGTGTAAAGCTAAAGACTTATTCATATTCATAAGCTGCTGGTTCCCCCAAAAATATAGTTCTCATATCATTATAAACATATTTATAAGAATAATGTAGTGAAAGCAATGTTACAGCTCAGTGACTTAAAGTGTACAGACAAAAACCTGGAGACAATCTGAAAATATCTTGTTTTACTGAAGACAGACAGTCATGTGGGATTAAAAAGACACAAGGCTGATGAAGTGACACTATTATCTGTCACTTTAACTAGACCTGTATGGAATCTGTGCACAGAAAGATTATTGCAGCTCATTATTGAGTCTAAACACTGCTGTAAATGTGTGTAAATAGATATTTATTGGTTGTTATGGTGGCTCAGTGGTTAGCACTGTGGCCTCACAGCAAGAAGGTCGCTGGTTTAAGTCCTAACTGGGTCAGTTGGTGTTTCTTTGTGGAGTTTGCATGTTCTCCTCGTGTTGGCGTGGGTTTCCTCCGGGTGCTCCGGTTTCCCCCACAGTCCAAACATATGCGCTGTAGGTGAATTGGGTAGGCTAAATTATCCATAGTGTATCAGTGTGAAAGAGAGTGTATGGGTGTTTCCCAGTGTTGGGTTGCAGCTGGAAGGGCATCTGCTGCGTAAAACATATGCTGGATAAGTTGGCGGTTCATTCCACTGTGGCGACCCCTGATTAATAAAGGGACTAAGCTGAAAATGAATAAATGAATGAGTATATTCATTACCTCCTCATAGGAGTGTATTGCTGTATATGCAGCGGGTGGTGTGTGTTGTGATAGACGCTGCAGTGTGTGTTCATCAGTCAGGGTTATTCTGGTCCACTGGATCAGATAAGAGCAGAAATCATGTGTCTGATGAACTCATGTCCACCTCTCAAACACAAGACACTAATAATAATACTCTAATGATCACACATGTCAGCTGTACTACAGGCTATTGGGTGTGTGTGTGTGTGTGTGTGTGTGTGTGTGTGTGTGTGTGTGTGTGTGTGTGTGTGTGTGTGTGTGTGTGATGTTATCAGTGTTAGAACATCAGCCTTGGAGAGTTTTGTTGTAGACTGTGCAGTATCTGAGTGACTGATGAGGGCTAGTTATGGTTATGGTTATGGTTAGGGGTGATGAATGGGTTTCACTGATTAACTAAATGTGTAGTCAACATTCATTTGTTTAATTGGAGACTGTATTTTACTCTAGCACATGTGACGCTCCCGTACACTGCAGAAAACGCTTTTCTTACATAGTTTTTGCCTTATTTCTTGTCCAAAATATCTACAAATTCTTAAATCAAGGAGCATTTTCAAGACACAAAAATAAATATAAGCTGTGTCTCATTTCAGAGGCGGCATCCTCCAAAGGGTGCAGACTTCAAAGGTGAGTTCTTCGAAGTCCACACAGGCTGAACCGAGCGTTTTGAAATGAGACGATATAGCCTACAGAGGACGAATCTCAGCTGCTGTTAATAAGCGCTGATGACATTTGTAATACATTTTTTTCAAAGTGATTTTAAAACTTATTTTTAAGCGATCTGAAGGCAAAACAAGGTATGAAGAAGCTGGAAATAAATTCCCTTTGAATGTTCAATTCATTTCAGTTCAGCTTTATTTGTATAGCGCTTTTACAATGTAGATTGTGTCAAAGCAGCTTCACATAATATTTTTGAATATATCCATACTTGTTCCTAGAGATGGGCTGCCGCTGGAAGGGCATTTAAACCGGAGTTGTCTTTTAAAAATGTCCTGCCGTTATCAGCGCACAATGAATCTTGGGACGTTTGAGGCCGCGAAAGATCCACCGTTTGTGTCCTTGATTACCTGGAAAATGATGGACACATTTGGAGGCTGCGTTTGAAGAAGCCTTAGATTTTTAAAAAAAATGATAATCCTTCGGAGGATGCAGCCTCTGAAATGAGACACAGCTATAGTCTTGTTCGCAGAAATAAATATGTCATAATAAAGAGAGTTTTATGAGTCTTATGTTAAAGCAAAAACAAGATCCCACACTGTCCTATTTACATTCACTGGCCACTTTATTAGGTACACCTCACTAGTACCAGGTTGGACCTCCTTTTGCCTTCAGAACTGCCTTAATCCTTAATGGCAGAGAATAAACAAGCTACTGCAAATATTCCTCAGAGATTTTGCTCCATATTGTCATGATAGCATCACACAGTTGCTGCAGATTTGTCCAGTTTTGGTGAGTCTGTGTGAATTGTAGCCTCAGTTTCCTGTTCTTAGCTGACAGGAGCGGCACCCGGTGTGCTCTTCTGCTGCTGTAGCCCATCCGCCTCAAGGTTGGACGTGTTGTGTGTTCAGAGATGCTCTTCTGCAGAGCCCGGTTGTAACGAGTGCTTATTTGAGTTACTGTTGCCTTTCTGTCAGCTGGAACCAGTCTGGCCATTCTCCTCTGACCTCTGGCCTCATCAACAAGGCATTTGCGCCCACAGAACTGCCGCTCACAAACCCTAGAGATGGTTGTGCGTGAAAATCCCTGTAGATCAGCAGTTTCTGAAATACTCAGAGCAGCCCGTCTGGCAGCAACAACCATGCCACATTCAGTCATTTAAATCCCCTTTCTTCCCCATTCTGATGCTCAGTCTGAACTGCAGCAGATCCTCTTGACCATGTCTACATGCCGAAATGCAGTGAGCTGCTGCCATGTGATTGGCTGATTAGAAATTTGCAATAACAAGCAAATGGACAGGTGTACCTAATAAAGTGGCCGGTGAGTGTATATTTCCTAAATTACTATGTGTATAATGTGCATCACATGGTTTTCTATGATTAGTTTCTGTTTGGAACAGCATATTAACTGCAGTAAATAACTGAACTGAACAATCCTGCCTCATTGCATCTGAAGGGCATCCGCTGTGTAAAACATATGTTGGAATAGTTGGCGGTTCATTCTGCTGTGGCGACCCCTGATAGATAAGGGACTATGCTGAAGGAGAATGAATGAATAATATGTGCTAGTAGTGGAAATCTATTCGTTCACTTCTGCTATGATTTGTTTTGCATGTATGACGGTTGACAGTCTGTTATAATGAATGGTGACGGTAGTGGCGGCTGGGCGACCGGAAACAACACTCTCCTATTGTGTATTCTCCATCTCCATATTAGTGAACAGGCCTACAGCACAGCTCTACTCTCTCACCGCAGCTCTGCACAGTTTAGCTGCAGCCCTAATCAAACACAGCAGATCAACTAATCGCGGTGTTCAAGACTACTACACTACTGGATCAGCTGTGTTTGATTAGGGCTGGGGCTAAACTGTGCAGAGCTGCGGCCCTCCAGGAACTGAGTTTAACACCTCTGCTGCAGATCCTCATGTGTCCTGCTCTCTGTGTTTCAGATGTGGCTCCGGCTGAGCAGGAGAAGCTCTTCGTGCAGAAGCTCCGCCAGTGCTGCGTCCTCTTCGACTTCCTCTCCGACCCGCTCAGCGACCTGAAATGGAAGGAGGTGAAGCGAGCGGCGCTGAGCGAGATGGTGGAGTACATCACCCACAACCGCAACGTCATCACGGAGCCCATTTACCCAGAGGTGGTGCACATGGTGAGTCAGGCAGAGCCCCGCGGCGGCCCCCGGCCCCGTCTGAGCCCGCTTTCATCCCAGAGACGCACACAATCAGCCCAGTGTTTTCCCAGCAGGGCGATGTCCCCATTCTGCAGCGCTCCAGCTCTTCTACACACACCTCACATGCTCCTCTATTTCCAGCTTTAAAGCAGCGCCATCCTGCTGGAGGAGCATTAGCAGCAGTGTCCAAACCATGATGAACAGATGTAAATAAAGAGCTGCTGTGTTCAGTCATGTCTACAGGCCCGGTCACACACACACACACACACACACACACACACACACACACACACACACACACACACACACACACACACACACACTGAGCGTTATCAGCCCTGTCTTCCCAGATGATGATGGAGAAAACACTGACAGCCAATCAGAATCCAGTGAACATTAGAGCTCCAGACAGCACTGTGGAGAAGCACACTGATGATGATGATGATGATGATGATGATGATGATGATGATGAGCCCTGGCTTACAGGAGCATTGCAGATCAGGACTCTCCTGGAGACTATTGATCACACCATGAACAATAATGATCAACTAATAGATGGAGTTCTGAAAGTCGTGCTGGCGGACAGATGTGTAAAAATAACAGTAGTGCAGGACTCCAGTGCTAGTTTGAGTGTGTGTGTGTGTGTGTGTGTGTGTGTGTGTGTGTGTGTGTGTGTGTGTAAATGCTAGAGAACTGACTGCGGATGCTGAATGGACTGATTGATCAGATTGATTAGAGTCAGGGTGAGGCAGTGGCGCAGTATGTAGTGCTGTCGCCTCACAGCAAAAAGGTCGCTGGGTCGCTGGTTCGAGTTGGCATTTCTGTGTGGAGTTTGCATGTTCTCTCTGCGTTCGCGTGGGTTTCCTCCGGGTGCTCTGGTTTCCCCCACAGCCCAAACACATGCGCTATATGGGAATTGGGTAGGCTAAATTGTCCGTAGTGTGTGTGTGGATGTTTCCCAGAGATGGGTTGCGGCTGGAAGGGCATCCGCTGCGTAAAAACTTGCTGGATAAGTTGGCGGTTCATTCCACTGTGGCGAACCCGGATTAATAAAGGGACTAAGCCGACAAGTGAATGAATGAATGCACACTGAGACTGACCCCTGCTGGACACTACAGAGAATCAGCAGCAGAATCCACACACACACACACACACACTGACCATTAGCGGTCATCTGTGTGCGGACACTAATAAATTGATCCTGCACGGGTCCTTTTTGGTCAACCTGTAACCACAATAATTAAATGAACACCCGACCCGTCACCCGACAGCAGCACTACTATCATTCCATACCAGTCAGAATGTAGAAGTCCACCGCTCAAGAGGAGTCCAGAGAACACAGTCCTTCTGACCGCAGTTGTTCACAAGGGTTTGATTATTGTCACCGGATTTCCAACTATTTACGGTGTTTTCTTGCAGGGACATACATTAAACAAGTTACTGGCGAGGTACGGATGTGCATTAGTGTTGTGGATATATATATTTTCTTTAAAAAAGCGTGCATCTCAATACAAAACAGTACTGCTGCTTCAGCATATTTCAGACATATGGACACACTGGGTAATGAACAGCACACGCAACGTGATCTTCCATTGTTAAATGAATCTGATTATAAGTGCGCACCATTTTCCCGCTAGAGAGCATGTTTTGTGTGGGAATGTAGCTGATCTGATATGCGGCAGCGGCCCCTTTAAATACGAGATTAATGTAGTGAATTTTGACGCTCTCACCACCGGAGCTGAAGACAGACAGCGTTGACGCCAGGGCATCGTTCTTCCAGTTTGAGAATAAATGTTGAAGCTGCGTCACGCCGATTAGATCCTTGTGTAAACTCCAGCGTGGAGACTGGATGTGTGTTCCGGCGAGTACAACGTGACGTCTCTGAGCGTTCAGCATTAATTCAGGAGAAAGACTTGGTGTGAACCAATCAGCGCGCTCTATTGTGAGTGAGGTGCAGCTTCATGAATATGCATGACAGAGCTGTGAAGACTGTGTTCACCTGTTACAGTGTTCAGACGCCGCGGTGTGTTGCCAAAACAAGCAGAAGCAGAAGAATCGTTGAGAGACACGGGTCGTCAGTGTTGTGTTGATAAATGTGCTGTGATGAAGGTTTAGTTTCATTTCCCGCTATGAGAGCGCAGCTGGACTCACGTGTGGACTACAGCGCTCTGCTAACACGCCACAGAAACACGTCTGTGAGGAGCGTTATCACCCGACAGCTTTCCTCATCTGCATCTGCCGCTCGTCTCCTCTTAATAAAGACGCGATGGCTCCAGTTGGTGTTGATTGTTCTGTCTCTACAGATGTGCTCAGTGTGTGGTCAGGGCTCTTTGTTGATGTTTATTCAGAGTTAAGTGAGTTGGTATGGTCAGCAGAACTCTTTCAGTGTTTAAACACAGAGCATAAAGGTCATGTCTCTTTAATCATTATTCATTAAGAAGTTTTAGTCATAGTCATTAGATAAGAGCACAGAGTCCAGTGCTCGCTGTCCATCACTTCCCGCACGATTGCCTACAATGCTGCACACTGAATGACTACTCGACCCACATTCCACTTCGCCAGTTTATTACCGACCCGCATTCAAACCACAAATGACATGTGAATAGTAATTTCACCAGTTACATCAAATAATAGCTGTTCACTCGATCACATGCAGAACTCTGGATCCTGGTGTACACACAGAATAAGCCATAGTCTCCAGGAGAGTCCTGATCTGCAATGCTCCTGTAAACCAGGGCTGATCATCATCATCATCATCATCATCATCAGTGTGCTTCTCCACAGTGCTGTCTGGAGCTCTAATGTTCACTGGATTCTGATTGGCTGTCAGGGTTTTCTCTGTTATCAGCTGCGACACTCCTGCTGAAAGTGTGGATATTGCTCCTCAGTGTGTGTGTGTGTGTGTGTGTGTGTGTGCTGTAGCTGTGCTGTTCTCCATCATTCCTCTATCTTTACTGTTGTTATATAGTAATCCTGCTGGGTGTGAGCGGGCCTAGTCTGGCATCTCTGCTCTGGCATCCGTTATTGTGTGAGAGAAACACCAGCAGCCTGCAGAACAGAGATTCACACAAGACGGAGTGTGTGTGTGTGTGTGTGTTTATTCTGTGTGTGTTCATTCAGCGTGTGTGTGTGTTCCTCTCAGTCCTGTAGAGCTGTGATAGTGTGACAGAAAGCTGTTGCTAAAGCTGTGTGTGTGTGTGTGTGTGTGTGTTGTAGTTTGCAGTGAACATGTTCAGGACTCTTCCGCCTTCCTCCAACCCGACCGGAGCAGAGTTTGACCCGGAGGAGGATGAACCCACTCTGGAAGCAGCGTGGCCACATCTACAGGTGCGCTGGAGCGATTACACCTGTGTGTCCAATCAGCCAATCAGAACACAGCTGGCACTGAACACTGCAAAAACCACTGTTCCTACAGTTTTTAGCTGCGTCTCAAATGGCACACTATGCACTCATGCACTATGTCCTTATGCACTTACACACTCAACAGCACAGTACATGTATGTAGTGTTGTCCCAAATGGAGCACTGATGTTTTTACTAAGCGGAAATTCCCCCCGTTTCCCTGATGATGTTTGACGGTTGCCAAATCAGTGAACTAAATGACCAAGCTATTAAATAACACCTGCCCTGAGTATTACTGCATTCACCATCAGGAGGCGCTATAATCACTCTTACAGGAGGATTTTGCTTTCACCATCCAAAATAAATAAAGTTATCCAACATGTGCGGCCGAATGCTCCGCCCCTTCCGCTACGTGAGCAAAAGTGCATGACGTGTCCATCATTACACACTTCATTTTAGCGGTACATCATCCATGTAATTAAAGTGCACTCATTATTTTGAGAGTTTTCTGTGTGAACGCACTGCTTACACTATCTATACTGCAAAATGTCATAGAATAGTGCACATGTATGCAGCTTCTGTCTTGTTTCTAGTCCAGATATCTAAAAAAAAAAGCTAGAAATGTTGTCTTGTTTTCAGAAATAATAAGTCAAAATGATGAGAGTATTTCCTAAAAACAAGCAGAATAATCTTTGGGCGTATGGTTAAGAATAGAGTAGTATGCTGGTGTTTAACTGCATTGCTTTAATGCACTCCTGCATTGGCCTCACACACCACCAGTTCATGGCTCACACATACACTCTGCGCTCTCATAATAGGGACTCTTCAAAATCTGACTGGAGCACTAATAATTTTGTCTTCAGCCGTATGATTGAGACCAGTGAGATTTCAGCGTGATATTAGAGAAATATAAATCAAATTATCTGCATGTCATAAATGCGGTTTGGACTCGTTTATTGTCATTGTATTTTAGATAAGCAATGAAATTTGAGAGTGCTACTTTTTGGGTTTGTATAAAGAATATTAGGAGACATTTTTAATAATGATGTTAATAATAAATAAATCAATAAAGTCACACTGGTTTAGCATTGGCTACAGTCTACGGTATATCTCATATGAGAAAAGGATTAGATTTTTATCACTGAATTAAACATGCTGTGATGTTGTTGCAGATATACTGTACCGTAGTGTAGCTGTGTTGCTCATTTCTGTCTCTCTCTGCCTCCTACAGCTGGTGTACGAGTTCTTCCTGCGCTTTCTAGAGTCGCCTGATTTTCAGCCAAATGTTGCCAAGAAGTACATCGACCAGAAATTTGTGATGCAGGTGATTCCCGGCTTTATTTTAAGCTCTTTATAGTTGTCAGTGAAGTTGAGTCCAACAGTGTGCAGTAGAACTGGAAAAAGTGCTTTTCTGACGTACATTTTGTTTGTCTTGTTTCTGGATATCTAAAAACACTTAAATCATTTTCTGGACAAACACAAAATATAGTCTCGGTTTCAAAAATAATGAGTCAAAATGAGTGAGTTTGTCGTTAAAGCTGCTGTATGTCAGTGCTTGACTCTTCTGCATCATATAAACAGCATCATGTGTGTGCAGATACTCAGAATCATGCTCAGTGAACACTCCTGTTTATCTGANACACAATGCTGAAGTCAGATGTTCTGCTGTGAACAGTTACGTGCTGTAACGGCTGTCTTTGTTTTGGTCCCTTTAACACGCCCAATGCCAGTTTAGCCAATCATATTTAAGCACAACGGGTTGCCAGATGGTGGAAAACAGCATATTTCATTCATCCAGTCAGGAAGGCTCTAGAAATATTAGGAGTGTAAACATCCGTGAGCAGGTCACACTGTAACCCGTGTCCTAACAACACGCTACATGACGAGATACACAGTGATGAACATTAAGGCTGTTTACAGCAGACGAAACAGGACAGAAATGTAAACACAGCCATTCAGCAGCGCAGGATAGCACACTTACTGCACTCCAGCACAACACTGAGCTTTATAATCTGATGAACACATGTTAAAGCTCTTCAACATGATTAATGTAGATGCTGAATCACTGATATGTGTTGGTTTGCACTGAGTCTCAGTTCTGAAGTTCAGTTTCAGACGCTTTATTGTATTCTCCAGATCTGAGCTGAACTCTCTGCTGCTGCTGTCAGTAGTGTGGCAATACATGTCCTGTATTATCAGCATTTAACACTAAAGCACAAGAGCTGTATCTGAGCTGATCACGGTCAGTTTTCTGTTGTTCAGCTGTGAGAAATAAAAGCCTTTTCTAATATATTTATTTCAGCTGTTGGTTAGGACTGAAACTCCTTTAATATGGAGAATATTCCTTCTATCGCATGCCGTTGCTTTTATATAGAACACGGTTTAAATCACTCGCTCCTGTCCTCAGTCTGGAAACCTGCACTTGCTTTTGTTTTAATCCAGGTGTGCAATACCTAGATCAACCACAGGGTGTCAAACTCACACTGTACACACTGCACCCTTAAAACAAGCGAAATAAAACTGTAATTATCACACCCATAATGCAACAGTGCTGTTCATTTCAGCTGCTGGATCTGTTCGACAGTGAAGATCCGCGTGAGAGAGACTTCCTGAAGACCACCCTGCACCGAATATACGGAAAGTTTCTGGGGCTCCGAGCTTACATTAGGAAACAGATTAACAACATCTTTTACAGGTAAGCACTGCAATCATCATTCATTCATTCATTCATATTCAGATGCATTTCCAGCCGCAATGCAGTACTGGGAAACACCCACACACACTTATTCACACAATATGGCCAATTTAGTTACCCAATTCCCCTATAGCGCATGTGTTTGGACTGTGGGGGAAACCGGAGCAACCGGAGGAAACCCACGCCAACACGGGGAGAACATGCAAACTCCACACAGAAACACCAACTGACCCAGCCGAGACTCAAACCAGAGACCTTCTTGCTGTGAAGTGTCCCCATTGTTAGTCATTTCTGATCATTACATTGAGAGGCGGTGGTGTAATGTGTTCATACACATTCTTACTGTGAGTTTGTGTCCTGTTTCTAGCCCAAATATGTAAAAATTCCTAAAATCAAGAGCATCTTAGAGACAAGCAAAACATACCGTCTTATTTGAGTTATATTTCTGACTATATATATATTTAAAAGTATCATATGGGCCTTCTCAAAATGCTTATACACATCCAAAACTGCACAGCGCATTGGTATGGCATGGAGGTTTGGTCGGCAGTGTGTAATGTGAGCGTTTGGCTGTGGGTGTGTGTTGACCCTCAGTGTTTTGTGTTCGCCTGCAGGTTCATTTATGAGACCGAGCATCACAACGGAATAGCTGAACTCCTGGAGGTGCTGGGAAGGTAAAACACAAGCTTGTGACGTCTGTCCCTGTGCATGCTGGGAAATCCTCTGATATCTGATTGGTTGTGTCTGACAGCATCATCAACGGCTTCGCTTTACCGCTGAAAGAAGAGCACAAGATCTTCCTGCTGAAGGTGCTGCTGCCGCTGCATAAGGTGAAGTCTCTGAGCGTCTACCATCCGCAGGTGAGCCATTACCCAGGCCCGTTAGCGCACCAGCGTATGCTAACAGCAGCAACATGGAGATCAGCATGAGTGCAGTGTTGGTAATGCAGTGTCTTCTGCCTCTAGCTGGCGTACTGTGTGGTTCAGTTCCTGGAGAAGGACAGCACACTGACCGAACCGGTAAGACTGCACACTCAACATCACGCCTACATGGACACCAATACTGTGATTTAAATACGATTAAGACGACTCTCTGATTAAGAGTCCACCATGTGGAGGACAGTAATCTGACTAGAGTCATAATCAAACTAAACACCAATGGACTTAAGATCAGTCCAAACACCTGCGCTATAGGGGAACTGATGATGTAATGAAGGTTCGGTTCAATACGCTTTTATGACTGTGTCTACTGTCAAAAGGTACCTAAAACCGAACTGTACCATACCACTTTTAGTCACTTATTGCAAAGGGTACCAACAGGCCCAAAGGGTACCCTAAAGCAGAGCTAGACGTGCAGCTGAACACTATTGGTCTACAGAGATACGTCACTTGCAGAAGCAGGAGAATGGACAAAGGAACCGCCACTTTTAAACACACAGCTGTGTGTGTGTGTGTGTGTGTGTGTGTGTGTGTGTGTAAGCTCGTG